GAATTCTAATATAATGAGGTTCTTGGTGCCTCTAGTTTGACAGTAAATTCATGGTTACCGTCTGTTTGACGGGTTCGCCTGGTAGGCGCTACTCTCGGTGGAATCATACGTGCCAACTCTTCAGAGCATTTTCCGTGATAGTACCTGTAGAAGAGAGATAAATCGCCCACAGATCTGCGATGTTCGAGACCATCCAAGTTACGAGTAAGTGCGGGGTCATTGATCAGCTTGATAGCTCGTTTTTGCACGGTGTTCAAAAGCATTAAGGTATGTTTGGGTGCTGCACTCCATATATGTGAGCAGTACTCCATAGTTGGTCGAATCTGGGCTTTGTAGAGTGTCAGCAATTGGCTTGGTGTGTACAGATGTCTTGTACGAAATAGCACCCCCAGCTTTTGGGACACCCTTTTAGCAATATCTGCCACGTGACTGTGCCAAGACATGTTGGTCTCTGCAGTAACCCCCAAGATGTTCAACTGACTCTGTAATGTGACAGCACTTCCAGATAGCATGATGTTTGGCTCACCGGTGCTGGTCTTTTTTGAAAACAGAGATGCTTGGGTTTTCTGCGCGTTGAACTGTACAAGGTTTTTGTTACCCTAGTCCTCTATTATCTCCAGGTCGTTATTTATCTGCGATATTTGAGTTAGTCTAAGATGATGGAATTCACGTGCGGAAAGACCTGTGGGTGGTATGAGTGAGGAGACTACATTGCCATCGTCTGCAAAGCAATAAAGTGGATTTACTGTTTTATCTATGAGGTCATTTATGTAAATCAGAAAAAGAGTTGGCGAAAGGATTGCTCCCTGTGGCACACCAGCATTTATTTGGTAAGAGTTGGAGTTCTGGCCATCCAGTGCAACATAAATGGATCTGTCCTTTAGGTAACTTTCAAACCAAGTGCAAAGTTTCGGCGATAATCCCATTGCTTTGAGCTTGTTGAGCAGATTTTCATGCCAAACTTTGTCGAATGCTTTAGATATATCTAAGGCAATTGTTCTTGTTTCACCCCGCAACTCAATCGCTTTTTGCCAGAAGTGAGTGACGTATGTAAGTAAATCGCCAGTTGACCTATATTTTCGAAATCCGTATTGCTTATCGTTGATAATTTTGTACTTTTCCAAGTACTTGGTTAGGTGATTGTTCACAACTCTTTCCATTACTTTTGATATCACCGGAAGTAGAGCAATTGGTCTATAGTTTAACGGATCTGTCTTTTTTCCTTTCTTTGGAATGGGTTGTACTGCGGCAGACTTCCATGATGATGGATATACTCCTTGCCTGTAAGACAAATTGAATAATTTTGCGAAAGTTGGGGTGAGTTCGTTGGCGCAATTTTTGAGTACTATTGCGGGAATGCCATCCGGACCCATTGCTTTGTTTGTATCTAGCTTTTTAAGGGATTTTCGTATTTCTCTGTGACAAAAGGGTACCTCTGGCATACTATGGGAAACCCTTTCAATGAACGGTGGAGTTTTTCCGTTTGGCACTGTTAGGTTGGAGTTGGAGGAAAACATTTGGGCCAGCATATTGGCTTTTTCCTCTGATGTTGTGGCTAAGTGATTATTTTTATCTGTAAGTGGTGGTATGGATGACTTGGTGAAGTTAGATCCAACAGCTTTTGCAAGAGACCAAAAGGACCTAGAACTACTTGGACAATTCAGCAACCTGTTTTTTATTCTTTGATTGTATGTTTCTTTAGCGGAGTCAATAGTAATTTTGCAACTATTTCTGGCTTCTATAAATTCTGTGTGGTTTTGAGCGGTTTGTTGTCGTGCTTCCCAAGTATTTATACTACTCACACTTTTTTAGATCTCTTCTAAGATCCGAGTTTTCATACAAAAATATTCTGACTTGCTTTAATTTATATCCGTTCCTCACTGTTCATATTCGTCCTAAAGTTTTCTATACATGTAATCCAGGTCCTCTTCACTAGCTTTTATTACCTGATCGTCTGCAAAAAATAGTGTGGACAAGTTATGTTCTCCCACTTCTATTCCCATACCAGAGCACTTATTTCCCCAGTTCTTCAAGGCTTACTGAATGTATATCTTGAACAGTGTATGTGATGAACAGCAACCTTGCTTTTGTTCTTTTGTAATTTTAGAACTTTCTGAAGTTTGATTTCCTACTTCTACTATATAATTATACTCTGCCTGTTTTATAAATATTACTAATGGCTCTTGTGTATTCTTTACTGAGGTTGGTCTTTGTCAGAACTTCGATAAGTTTTCTTAAGGGCACTGTATCGTAGGCCTTCTCGAGGTTTACAAATATTAGGTGTATGGACAGATTTCGAGCTCTCCTTTTTTCTATGATTTGTTGTAATGTGAAAGAGCCATCCATGCATGAACGTTCCGCACGAAAGCCATTCTGCTCTCCTATGTCTGAAAATTCCATTTCAATTATTCCTTTTAAAATACGGCTGTTCAATCTTCCCAAATATTCACTTATACAATGATTTCTGAAGCGGTTGTAGTCGGAGCGATTGTGAGCGTGATCCTTTGTGCTCTATTATCATTGAGTTCTGTTTTTGAAAAGCTGCTTAATGATTTATTTTTATTTAAAAAACTTGGATACTAGACATTAATTTTTTTAGAACCATAAAAAAAAGTTCGCCATCTTGTCACAAATTTTTAATGGCATAACTATAGAACAAAGTTCGCCATCTTGTCACAAACTTTTTTAATGACAATTAACTTAAATAAATAATTGTGTTTAGAATTCCAAAGCTTGTGTTTTTATTGAATGGGTTGAATGTCAGATAGCTATTGGATTTTGGATTTATTTTACCTTTTCAGATTTTTTTGAATTTATCTTTTTAAACAATAACTAATTAATGGAATAGTGCCTAGTTTGGCTATTCCTTGGTAATCAAAATAATTTATACAAACTAGTGGCGCCCTCTCTCTACTGTACCAACACTAAGGACCACCCCAAGCTAAACTACCACTGAGTAATAGTCGAGCACAAATTATGAACATTCTTTTGTTTCGACAAAAGAGCGTTACAAAATGGACCGATATCACACAGACACGATAACTTTTTATTTTCTCTTCCATTTAAAATCCTATCTGTACAAACATTTTGATATTTTACATTCAAGGTCCGTAGTAGTCTAGTGGTTATCGTTATTCGTTCTTGAATCACTGGCCAGAGGTTCGATTCCTCACACAAACACAATAAGTCTTTTTAAAATGTTAGTTCATCACAGAGGTAAAAGTGAATACTATGAAATAAAAAAAAAACAGGTACCGGTTATTATTTTAGCACAGGTAACGAAGGTCCAGGTGAGGGGAAAACAGGGGGAGATGCTATGGAGTGTTCCAGAACCGCCTGTTCTCTACTACTTGTGATCTTTTTATTCAAATCTTTAAAATAATGTACAAATTTATTTCATTGTGACTTTTTCTATTGAAATATCAAGAAAAACTATTCTAATTGGGTTTACAATTATATTTCAACTATCCTTCCTTCCTCGCTCTTCTCTATCCTTTGGATTTACGCCACTCTCAAATTTTGCCAAGTATTTCTAGTCTGAGTCTGTGCGACCTGGTCCTGGTACCAATTTAGTCCTGGTGTTCGTTTGATGTCATCGTACCAGCGTTGTTGAGGTCTGCGACACCTCTTCGTTCCTACAGGGTCTCCATCTCGTTCCAGTTGTTACTTGTGTTTCTCGCTACGTAGCCATTCGAGGGTGCACATTCTATGTGTAATGTCTTCGACCTTTGTTGTATTTCTTATCCACTCGTTGGTCTTGTGATCCCTTAGTGTAATACCTATCATTCTTCTTTCGATTGCTCTCTGATGTTCTTTTTAAGAACTTGATTAGCATGTTGCCTCTTTCATTTCTTGTACCATGTCCGAATTTGCCAGTGTAACATGAGTCAGTGTCATCTTGGCCTATTTTTGCATTTAAATCTCCTATAACTAGTGTTTACTTTGTTTTTTTTTTTCGTGCAAACAGTGTGTAACATCTTTATAAAGTTTCTCTATTTCTTCGTCCTCGTGGTCGGTTATTGATTGATGTATTCTTGTTGATTTTCAATGTTATGTATATTACCCTGTCAGACTTGCTCTTGAGAATTTGTAGGCATGGAACCATTAGTTTGTGTATCGGAATTCCAACTCCTCCATGACTGCTTTTAGCTATCATTATCACCTTTGTAGAATAGGAAATGATTTGATTAAAGTCTAAAAATGGTATTCTCCGCTTCTTCTACTTTCTGTCAGTTCTAAGTGTCCCAATTTATTCTAACGAGTTTGTAATTTCTCCATTTTTCAAGGTCTTTGCGTTGTATATTTGGCGGTCGGTTGGCTCTTTCCTTTGTCTTTCTCTCATTTGAGAGGGGTTTTGCCATGAAACACCACGTTGGCAATACGTCTTGGCGAATGAGAACTTCGGTCGCCACTAACATGAGAAACAGAGGCTGTTTGCGACGGCCCATTTTGTGTCAGACGCCGCCATATGATCATACAGATTCATTCTAAGACGAATTTTTGGATCCTCGCATTTAAAACCACAAAATAGTCTGAATTTGTTCCAAATGGGTTTCCCTGTGGCTTTTTCTATTGAAATTTTAAAAGTAACTCTCCTAAATAAGTGTAAGATTGCAATGCAGACATATTCTGTGCTTTTTGCGTTTAAATTAAAAGAACATTTTCAAGAACACTACTAAAACTGTATTTTTGAAGCTTGTTTCCAATTTCTGAAATGTTACCATAAGAAAATGAAATTGGAATACTTATTACTCAGCTACTAAACATTTTAGGTAAATTGAATTGTACATGTTTGAAAATTTTATTTGAAATCGTGCAGTTCATTAAGTGAAACATTTTTAAAAAAATCTAGAAGTATGTTGATGTTGCTAGTTTTAATCTAGTAAAATATTTCATTTGAAGGCTTCTTTATCCATTAAAATCATTACAATTTTTTTCCAGCAAACTGATATTGATCACTATAAACGTAGGTAATACCGCATTTTTTTTTTTTTTTAAAGGTTCGTCTTTTTGTCAAAGAAGGCCACCGCATCGCTCTAACTCAAAGCTATGCCAAAAACATGGGCCTCTATGGTGAAAGGGCTGGAGCCTTCACCGTGACTGGTGAGTCCAAGGAGGAAGCCGACCGAGTAATGTCCCAAATCAAAATTCTCATCAGGGCTCTATACTCCAACCCACCCATCCACGGAGCTAGAATTGTCACTGAAATTTTGAGCGACTCACAACTTAGAGCTGATTGGTGAGTAGCGTTATAGCTGGAATTTACAAATGAAATCAATAGTTCACACTTTCAATACTGACTTTGTGAACTCTTTGGTAAATTTATCTTGTAGGCAGTTAGGTAACAGCAAGCTTATCAAAAGATGAAGAATTCATTCCTAAGATATTAGATATTCTACTGGTCACTGTAAAGCCATAAATATTTTGAACATAAGGTCAAGTTATTTATTTTTTCAATCACTCAAAATTCAATTCAACTGCAAAAGACACTATTTAATACTTAAACTAGATTTACTATTTCTACAATCCATGAAGTTTCTACTTTTGATTTGATTAAATTTTTCATCTCAGGTTGAAAGAAGTAAAAGGAATGGCTGACCGTATTATCTCAGTGAGAACCACATTACGTGACAATCTGAAAAAAGAAGGTTCCACTAAAAGTTGGGAACACATCACGAATCAAATAGGAATGTTCTGTTTCACCGGAATGAACGCGCAAGAAGTCGAAAAACTAACGAAAGAATTCAGTATTTACCTAACCAAAGACGGTCGTATTTCGATGGCCGGAGTCACAAGCAAAAACGTCGATTATCTCGCCCATGCCATCCACCAAGCTACCAAATAAATTGATTGCAACAATAGTATTTTGTTAGTTAATTAAGAGAAAAAACACAAGCGCTTTAAGCAAGAAAGACATTTAAGATATAGCTAAGATTTTAAACAAATTTTTTGTCTCATACTTTTTATTATAACTTTTATTAGCATTTTTCCTTGTTATCTCTTTATCTTTATATTATTGCATTTTTTTTGTTTTGTTGTAAGCCAAGCTCCAAAGGTATTATTGTTGATATTTTTCTAAACTGGAATATACTTATCTATTTGAAAAACTAAATTGTAGTTAAATTTAATACATTTAATAATAAATCTACCAATTTGTTAGAGGGTGTCTGTTGAGCGCTGATGACTCTATTCAGACATGAAGTGATACCGCAAGAGGTAATTGAGTTTGTAGGTAGTGAGTACAACATTGGTTTGTTAGATGATTTTATTGAAATAATTACCGTTATTTATATTAAACTAATCAATACAAAAACCCTATATACATTTATTACAATTATTATTTTTCTGCTTAGTCCGCATTTGCTGGAGGTTACGACTGGCCTGGTTTTGTACTGCCGATGCTGCTAATTCAACAAATTCCATCACGTAGGAAAATCATAACTTGGATTATATTGAATATTCCCAAAAAAAGGATTTTTTATGTCTAATTATAGTCGGAGAGCCAGCGCCAAAAAAGTGCAAAAGTTTCATGAAAGCTGAAAATTTAATATAAGCTTGTATTTATGATGTACCTATATAACTATACTCGAGTCAGCAAGTGAGGTAGCGGGACAAGCCACGCCCACGCACCTTCGATTGTGTTAAAAATTATTCGCGATGAAAGAGTTTCATGAAAGCTAAAAATCTGTCAATCTATTGTTTATTTAATAAAAAACATGACGAACATGGTCAGATAGCATTATGTTGGGTCAACTAGAGTCAGCATGACTATATTCTGGTCGTATAATAGAGGTAACTGAAACTGTTTCATGATGGTTCAAATTTGGTATATTATTGAATTCAATACTATAGTCGTATTCACAATAGAGTTTGAATTTTGACCGTTATTTTCACCAGTTGAAAATAAATAAAATCCCCAGGGCTGCGTTCAGGAATGGCTACAGCCAAGCCAAAATTGGCATTTTGCGTTCGAGTTCGGCTCCAACTACAGTGACTTTATTACCACAGTGGCGACAATTGCGGTCTCATTTTTGATTGGTTCAAAAATCCCATATGTTTATATTGAAAATGCCGCCATCTTGTTCCCAACCTCTTGTTACTTTTAAATATGAAAATATAGGATTTAGGTGAACATCCATCATAAAACATGGAAAACAACGTATTTGATGAACCTGATAATGGTCATCAAATATGCCGATTTTAATTTTTTATGAAAGATGTCCATTTAAAACCTATAAATTCATATTTAAAAGTAACAAGAGGTTGGGAACAAAATGGCGGCGGGACCTCTATTGTCGCCACTGTATGTAAAGGTTTATTTAGCCACTGTAGCTCCAACCTACGTGGTTCGGCATTACAGGTGGAGGGGGAAAAGTAGGTTTTGGCATTAGCATTGCCGTCCTTGAACGCACCCCTCTGATCTGTCCCTTTTTCTGACAACTATCAAATAATGATACATGACATTTTGATTTGACATATAAAAATATCAGATTTGGGTTTTTGAATTTCGAATTTTTGTGTAAAATTATAACGTACTTATTTTGGCAATAGGCATGATGACAGTAATTGAAAATCACTTAAATTGTGTTTTCACTTGATGAAACTTGACTCATGGAATACGAAAGACGCATTTATTTTTTTATTAGGAGCCAGATTGATGATTATTTTGATGAAATAAAACTGCAAAATACGAAGTTCCGCCATATTATGTTAAACGCCAATCAGAACGAATGACGTCACTTTTGAGTAAATCAGTTAAGAAACGACTGGTTCCGTGATTTTCTTGCGATTTGCGACTCAATTTTGTTTATACCGTGTGTTGTTTATACCGAATATTGAATCAAAAGTGAAATAACGCGAGTCATGGAACAAAGATTAAGCAGAAAAAAATCAAGAAATGGTAAAACTTCTATCTAAGTAAAATTTTTTTAATATTTTTAGACCTCAAACAAGATACATACTATTTTGAAATCTACGAAGTAAATTAAATACTTGCGTTGAAAGGATTTTCACAAAAATAATGGTAAGTTCTAGGCAATATTGCTGTTGAATCTCGCGTTGCAAATTTAAGCCACTTGTCCCTTATCGTTTTATTTTGTGGAACGAAGGCAAATAACTTTCCAGGAGTTTTTAATGATGTGTTATCACACTGAGGAACCGCACACCACTTGTACATTTTGGAATTCATATTTAATTACACAAAATATCTAAATTATTCAAATTTTCAATGAGCCTTTAGGTTTTGTTTACTCAAACGTGACGTCACGAATGACGCCATGACACTGAGAAGCGTTTTGGCGCGAATTTTGAATATAAAAACTAAAATGTAATTTTTTCTACTAAAACCTTTATTATCTGCAGAAATATGTTATTCATTGTGAATAAATTGTGAATGAAATTTTTCATCATGCCTATTGCCTAATTATACTGCATACGGCTAGTCAGCATCAGTCCGGAGGCCATGGGTCTATGGGTTCCTTGTATACATCTTACCTTTGGGCGCCACCAAGTTAATTGTGACTTAACTAGGAAGATAACCTAATGATGTTATAAACAAAACCTGTGCAATTGGAGAGCTTATCAATAAAACAACTAATTAGGTACAATAATATATCTGGCTTCTTTATTAAAAAAATAATAACAATAATGAATAGGGATAGCCAGGACGTTGTTAAAAATGTGTATACATTATGCCTTGTACCACAGCCTCCTATAGTTAACAAGCCATGAAATTGGAAATGACGGCAACGTCGCGTATGGTGCTCTTTTGTTATTGGGTTATGTGTTTCTGTGTATTGCTTTCATTGTTTATTGTTGCAATTTAGTATTTTTATGGGCATTATTGACGAAAAAGTGGATAGAAACACACCAATATATTGCCCATATTTAGTTGATACCTGTTCCTTTGTGCTTTGATTGCAAATTTTTAGCAAATGGGTACAGGAACAAAAATGAAGGTAAGGTAAGGTAAAACAATAAAAACAATATTAATATTTGTCTGCAAGAGCATAGGTCTCGATATATTACCTAAGATATTTAAACTTGTTCCAGATGCCATGAAACTACTGTGTTCCTGGGTGCAAATCGAACTATTAGGAGTTCCTTAAAAACTGAAGAAATGCAAACATTTTTATTTCCAAGTGCAAAAAATGTGGATGAAAGCAATACACCAAGATAATTATACCCAAGATTATACAATAACGAAAAATTCTGTGGTGTGTTGTAAACATTTTGAAGAAACCGAAATAATTAGATTTGAAACAAACAAGGATAAAGGCGTAGTTCGAGAGTTCAAACTAAAACGTCCAACTCTTAAAAGTAGGTACCAGGTACCTCTTATTTTCGAAAATCAGCTCAAGTATTTGAATGGACTTGCCTTCCGAAAAAATCCCGAAGAAAGAAAAAGTTAGATTTTCAAAAGACATACTGAAACATAGGCCTATAACACGTTAGACTCTAGAAATATATTCATTTAAATCAATTATTTACTGTTCTTATTTACACAAATAGTTAAATTATTCATTGAATTACTGTTTTTGGCCCTTTAGTACAATAAATTATGTATTTTTTGTGATTCATATTAATAAAATAAAAAATATATATTTATACAAACAAACACCACCAGCACCACTTGGCGGTAAGATTGCGGTGTTGCCTTTTTAACTTCATGGCTTGTTAAATGTAGGGGGCTGTGCTTGTACCAATTTATAAATATTTGATTATCAAAAGAATGAATGTAAATAATGCATATATAAATATGAATTTTAAGTAAACATGACTGAAAACCTTTTGGTATTTACACTTGTGAGTGATAAGAAAAATACAGTATGGGTTACACTTTACTATCAGGCAAATTAAACACAGAAAGGTGAAAGTTATAGTTAGGGCAACCTCAGGGTAAAATTCTAGAATTTTATTTAAGGGGCACTTACCGAACCTGATTTAGTATCAAGTGATTTACATAGGATTTGCCTAAATAGTAAAAGGTGTAACTTACATGGGATACAAGTGTTAGTTATATTCAAATGTATGTGTAACTCCAGAAGTTTTGAAGGGAGATTATCTACAGGTTTGGTCTCACTGTAGATAGACTATGGTATGGTAAGTGAGTCATGAGTCCTATCCACGTTGTATCTGTTTAACGTAGAACTCGACGTGGTTCTAGCAGAGCGGTACCAAGAGAGTTGCTGGAGAAAGGCTACGAAAGCCAACTAAGAGCAATCTAGATCTAGTCTAGAATCTCTTCCTAGGAGTTGTCCAACTATAGCCTAAGACTGTCTAGCTACAGCCTAGCACTAGGATTGTCCAACGATAGCCTAAGAGTAGGATTGTCCAACTATAGCCTGAGACTAGGAGTAGGAGTAGGATTGTCCAACTATAGCCGGAGACTAGGATTGTCCAACTATAGCCTAAGAGTAGGAGTAGGATTGTCCAACTATAACCTGAGACTAGGAGTAGGATTGCCCAACTATAGCCTGAGACTAGGACCCTATAACGATGTTCGTATAAAAAAACAAATCGAGCTCCAAATATTAGAAATAATCTTACCTCAAATTGAGGAATACTCTAGACCAAAGGTGAAGTCTTAAACTTCCAAATGCTGCTCGGAACAGTCCTATTAAAAAAAATGGAACACGTGTTGTAGGTTAATATTTCCTGAAGAAAATCTCAAACTTACCGAAACAGAATCCAAAAATGACCAAGGGACGACTCTAGACAATTATCAGCAAGAAATTAGTCTAAAACTTGAGCTCCCTGGCACAAAATTCCAAAAAGTCTCGCCCCAAAAATAATTAGGGCCGAGGCCCGAGACCGGACGACTACTCAGCGTGAGGTCGCAGATCAAAAGGGCAGATCAATGAACTATAACCAAAAACTGGAATGCGAACACATAAGGACGAACGTGAAGCCTAGTGCGGCTGTTGCGGAGGGGATACCTGTTTTTGTCGCACTCATTATGTTAAATGGGGAAAATTGCCTCCAACACGTATTCCAATTGATGAAACCTGTGAAGGGAAATATGACAAAACTTTCGAAAACGTCATATGTCAGCGAGCAACAGAAAAAAAACAACATTCCCCCTTGTGGCATCTGTCTTTCATGGCTTCATTTTTATGGCAGATATGGCAATGTGTGCGCATTCCAGTTTTTAGCTATAGTTCATTGGGGCAGATTCTTCATTTAGATTTCGGAAGAAGACTTTCATCTGTCAAACTTCTAATTTTGACATTGAAGAAAATTATAGAAAAGGACGTGTTCAGTTTCACCCCAAAAGTACGAACTGAAAATCGGTTGTGTAAAAAATGACTGGTGAATGTTGAAAAGTGCCTATAGAACATATATCAAAAGGTAGAACAGGTCTGAAGAAAACGCCTAGACAAAACAGCTGTTCAATGACATGATGGAAATGAAAAGTCAAAGAGTAAACAATAATTATTATCATAACCTCAGATTATTGATTGGATTTGCAAACAGAGATGATGATGGTACTAACTCCTTTTCCTAAGATTCTAATCAATAACAGCGGGCCCTGCCGTACTGAATCAAACCTTCCTAGATCAATTAACAAAACTTGCAAACCTGCACCAAAAAAAACTTTCAGTAGAAGGCAGTACTCAAGGTAACAAAATCTGGGCACAGAAAAGATAGTTGTTTATTCATTTATTTCATTGTAGTTCTATATGGAATCATATCTACTAAAGCAAAACAAGGTAGCTTATTAGCCAAGAAATTGAAAACGTTACACTTTATCAGACTCAGTGCCACACCATGCACACCATATGCCTCCAACCTTTCACACAGAATGTCATGATTCACAGAATCGAAGGCTTTCGATAGGTGAGGTCCATGCACATTAGCATTGTATAATCCTTGTTATTTAATGAATTTATAACCTTTTCTATTGCTTGATAAATAGCTCTAATCTGATAGAAACAGAACGTCGTCCAGCGTCTGCATAAATTGGTATCTCACAAAAATGTTAACTGTCCTTCAACGTGTTAAAACATATATTTCTTAAAATGTAAGCCTTCATACGCACGCCACTGGTAGGTAGGTACCTACTAGAAGTGAAGGGTTTTATTTTGGTCCTATTTCTTCCCAATTCCTCTATGTTTTTCTCCCTCTCCTCCTGATTGAATAAAGAAATTTAAGAAAAAAACATATTTGACAAAAACAGCTATGTTTCCATAGCAACGCAAGATATCATAAAAATTACAAAAACGTCTAGAGATGTCCATCTAGTGATCCACCCTATACATAAAGAATCATTCTACTATGCGTAATTATTTCCAGATTCTCCCATGAATTTCTCAAATTTGGCATGCTGACAAATTCAGCCCCCTGTATATAAGAAAGCTTCGGTCAAAAGCGGATCCGCCACCACTGAAAAAAGTATAAAGTTAGGGCTTCTCAACACTGGTTTGAGATTCACCATCGGAATGAAATTACAAAAGTTACAGCTTTCCAAATATAGTGATATTTTGAACTGTCCCAATTCATTTTCGGTTGAGTTTAGTAATAGAAATATTAATTTATGCTTTTGGCTCCACGATGTTATAACTTGCTTCCTGGTAGCATAAAACTTATTAAGAACCATAAGAAATTCTGTGCTGAATGTAAGAGATACATTTTCAGGCATCTTCAGCAATTTATAATTCTGTTTTGATTGAATCTCTTGGGAGTTTATTCTCCTTTCCTTAATGGGTAGGCTACGTTAGTTTAGTTGTCAATTTAGGAGTAGATTAGGCTAGTTCTTAGTTCTTAGATTATGAAAATAAAATGAACTTTTTTTTAGGATTAATATTGTGATGTTGTTTGCTGTTGACAAACAATACACAATAATTATCATATTATTATTTACTAACAAATAAGTTAAATTCAAAAGGCACATACGGATGTCAAGTCATCTAGGTGCTGGATATACTTGTTATTAACCATATCATAAACCTGTTACCATTAAGATACAAAATGTGAACATGTACCTATATAACCTTACGTAATATAATGTCTATAATGTCTAATGTCTAATAATGTAATTTTGACTATTATCTTTAAAAAAACAAACTTTTACACTGGAGGAAAAACCACTATAAATCTTTAGTTTTAAACTACTACTGTAAACAAAGCTGTAAGCTGTATTATGTTTGTTTTGACACTGTATTATGTTTATTTTGAAGACGAGAACTACAGAACTCATACAGTTGATACGACCACATGTACCAGCGAGAAACTTGCTAGGGCAGTTATTCTAGAAAACATAGTGCTAAGTACTTTAAGATTTTATGCCACAGTATTATTTTGGTACAGCCCAAGTTTATTGTTGAAATGAAACAATTAATAGTTATTTATGGTACTAGTGTGTTATGTTGAAAATAAGTCACGCGAGAAAGATTTATGCCACGAGGCCGTTAGGCCGAGTGGTATAAATTCTCAAGTGACTTAGGAAACATAACGCACGAGTGGCATACAATGTTTTATCCAACAAGTAGAAGAAATCGTTTTTTTATGAGATAATACTAAAAAAAATATAAGATTCTATGCGTCGGCGTCTTCCAGCACTATTAGCAGCTCTACCGATATGGGAGCGTCTGGTTCCAATGAACCAACGAATATTACAATGACTTCAAATTCGAATAAACCGTTAACGTTTTCTTTAATTTTAATATTAATGTGAATTCTGCTTGTAATAGTAATAAATAAATAGAATACTACTTTAAATATGAACGTGAGTTATAATCCATAACTCACTAGTGAGTTATGGATTATAACACACTAGTGTGTTATTTGATAGTTTACTTGTCTAAAATGACATTAATAATAATAGTTATAACTGTCATGTGTTGGATAAAATTATGAAATTTTAATGACAATTCCACTCATGTATAAATAATCCCATTTGAAATGTCAAAAATCGTAGTTTGCTAGCGGATAAATAGGAAGGAAGAGAAAATATAACTGGATAAAAAAATCGGATAAATTTTCTGTTGGTGCTATCTTTACCATAGTAACAAGGGCATATTAAATTGATTTTTGAATCATCTGTCAAATTATTGTGTCACAAAAATTCACAAATTCGATCATTTTAGCTTATTGAAAGTGTTTTGTTATCTGAGATAAATACATTTTTTATTTTGATGTTACATTCGTGGAATTGCCGTACTAAATACCATTCGAGCTCAGATTTTAAGCAGGATATTTTTTTGCTTGCTCTCTCATACTTGCTTTCATGCAATTTATCTCGATCTGTTCCACAAAATCACTCGAGCTGCGCTCTCGTGATTTTGTCAGAACAGCTCTCGTTAAATTTCCTGAAAGTAAGTATTTGAGACCAAGCCAAAAAATATCCGGCTAAATCTGAGCTCTTATGGTATTACCTACGACAAAACACAAAACAAATGTTCACATAATTAAAAAAGCGACATCGCTTTCAATTCAAAGTGCGTAACGTTAGCAACAATCGAATAAACTCGATTTACCACTCGATCGAGTTTCGTGAACAATCCACTCGAGTCGATCATCGTTTGACTCGATATAATCGAATCGAACCTCGTGATCCCTATGCTGTTAATATATTATAATAGCGACAGAAGATCTTTCAAAATTTCCAAAAATCCTTTATAATCTACAAAAATCTTTCAAAATCCTCAAAAATCCGTTAAAATCTCCAAAAATCTGTTAAAATCTCCAAAAATCTTTTAGAATCTCTAAAATCTCCTAAAATCTTGGAAATCTTCTGGGATTTCAAAAATCTTCTAAGATCCTATAAAATCATGTGAAGATTATTTTCAAAATCCTACAAAATCATTGAAGATTTGAAATCTGTGTACAATATGTACACATGTAAGGAGTTAACCACCCCTCGATATAGAGTATATTTCATAAAATCTGCTCAGAATTTTACGTAGAATCCAAATATGGAATCACATACAGGGTATCTCGTTGAAAAATAACGACTTTTATATCGTCACGCCTAATTGAGCCACCCTGTATACTCAAAAATATTTTCTTTAAATAGAATCTCACGAAGTTGTCCTAACCTAATGCTATCTCACCATGTTCGTCATGTTTTTCATTAAATAAACAATGGATTGACAGATTTTCAGCTTTCATGAAACTCTTTCATCGCGAATAATTTTTGACACATTTAAAGCTGCGTGGGCGTGGCTTGTCTCGCTACCTCACTTGCTGACTGGAGTATAGTTATATACATCACAAATACCAAGCTTATATTAAATTTTCAGCTTTCTTAAAACTCTTGCACTTTTTTGGCGCTAGCTCTCGGACTATTATATCAGGTCTTAAAAAAAAACACCAATCGAAGATTGCATTGATTACGAAAACGTACGTCGCATTACTGTTTCTTTATTGGTCAGGATTTTTGACATGACATTTTGACATTAAAGTTCATTGACAAAATTAAAGACAAAAATATGCTAAGACATACGTTTAAAAAAACCATAGCAATCTCTGATTGGTTTTTTTTTGAAGACCCGATATTATTGATTAGACAAAGGGGGAAGAGCAAAATTTCATTTTTCAATTTTTCAAATGGTGTGTTTTCAAACATTTCAGAATTAAATCTCATATTGATTTGCAGCTTAGAGTTAAATAGGCCCCAAATGATCATTGAGAGTCAAAATGGAAAAATTTAAAATTTTAACATTTTTTTATTAATAGGCTATAAGGGGTAATTAGGTAGGTACTTACCTTTGAAGTTAATTGATTAAAGTATTGAGTTGAGAAGGTCCCAAATAATCACCTATTTAGAGTTAAAATCTCAATAAGGAAAAATTTTAAACTTCAACATTGAGTAGAAAAAAATATAATTTTATTAAACAAACCTATTACATTGCTCTTAATAATGCTAGTGAACTAAATCCTACAATATAGGAATACTTATTGAAAAAACCACTCAATATATTTCGAGATGCTGTACCTCTTTGGTTTTCATTGGAATGAAATTCTTTTATAAACGACAAAGCAACTCCGTTAGTCCATCCAAATCCTAGTTGTACTGCGTACTCTCCGCCACCGCCATATTCACCAACTTCAACAGCATCATACTTTTCATACATGGCCTTACTGTGCTCAAAGCCTTTCATGTTTGAAGTTAACCAACGATTCGCCATGTCTCTTGCCATCGCTTTAGCCTCCTCATTGCCAGTATTATACAATCCTTAGAAAATATTTAAACAATTCCAATTGACAAAATTAGTGTAGATTAATTTTTACCTAAAACTACGAATTCTTGAAGCGGTGGCCACGCATTTGGTAAATCCCATTGCTCTCCGCTTCTCTGAAGTGACGTCGGTATTCCGCCCATAAACTTATCGATGCCCTGTCTTTTCAAATATTCCACTGCCTTTTTTCCTTGTTCATCCTTCTTGGTTTTGTCGTAGCAACCAGTCCAGAGCGGTGCCAAATTACTAGGAAAAAAGTACTTTCGTTGTTTGCCCAGGTTGTAGTCGTAGTCGTACCATATTCCATCTGCTTCATTGTACAAAACCGTTTCCATATTTTTTTGCCACAAGTCGGCCTTAGCTGCCCATTGCGTTTGTTTAGCAGAGTTGCCTAGTTGGCCATAAAAACCAGACAGTAATCGGAAGGAGGTGCATAGGAAAGCGTTCAAATCTGCTGGCACTACTCTTTGACTGTCTATGTCTGAGAGGTTGCTGTTGATACCGCCTTGTTTGTCGAAAATCCATCGTAGTGAGAAATCCCAACCGGTTTCGCAGGCTGTTTTCAGTGCATTGTAGCAAGCTTGCTGAAATTACGAAAACTTTTTTTAATTATTGAAAGATTGGATCCAGAGAAATGGAGCATTAGTTTACAGGGACTTGGAATGCAAAAGGAGAGTTTTCTGAAAATAAAAGTAAATTCAGGTAAGTATAGTCTTTGTAAAGTCAATTGAAACAAGGTAAAAATAAATTGCAACTGGTGGCTGACTAGTGGCAGTGCATTTCTTATGAAAGTATTCAATCACCAATTGTGATTTACTTTTACCTTGTTTCAACTGACTAAAAATACTATACCTGCCTACAATTAAATAAACCTTAAATAATTAATTTTTTAAATTATTTATGGCCGAAATAAGTTTTGACATCCTTTGAAAGATACGTTCTCACATTTCTACATCTGTTGACCCAAATAATCAAGGAAATTGCGACATCTCCTGTTGAACAAATAATTATATTTCTTAGAAATAGGGGGAGTGGAATTTAGGTCAACGTATCCAAGTCACACGGATTCATTATGATCGAATGGGAGAACTGAAACTATTCAAACAAATTACAATCTAGTGGGACAGTCTATATAGTCCATAGGTTACAGTCGACAGTCATCAAAAATTGAGAGTAAGACAATAACATAGTAGTGGTCATTAGACAGACAGTAACAGAGTTGAATGCCTTTAATTTAAATAGTGATTATTGTTGCAAGTTGTAAAGAGTTAGTAATTAGTGTTAAAGTGTATAGTTACGTGGAATAAATTATTGCTGTGTTAATGGGACGTTGATTTTGGAATACACGAAACGAACCCCAGGCAACCCAAAGCCGTGACAATTGGCGTCAGAAGTGGGATATAAAGGACTGCAGAGTGAAATCCAATTGAATAGTGCGGGGACTCTAGTGTAGTATGAACACTGAACACTAAGTGAACTGAACTGAATACAGGGACAGTTAATCAGGCCAAACAGTGACAATCACAAAAGGAGACTTAACCGATCGTGTAAATTACCCCGGAAGTGAATCTATACCCGATTTTGACTGTGATAGTGAATCTTCGACTGAGTTCTAGAAAATTCTTTTTGAAAACCACGGGAGATATCGAATTTCTGACTTCGCCGAGGTATTCGGAACATCAATCGTCATTCAGAAAAAAGTTTTTCGAAGAGTTTCAGAAAAGTTTTAAAACATTCTATTTGGAAATTAAGGGAGATATCGAATTTGTGACTTCACCGACATGTTTGTTATATCAATTGACATCCACAAAAGACATTTCAAGAAAATTCTAGAACATTCTATTCGAGAATAAAGCCAGTTATCCAATTTGTGACTCCACGTGTTTGGAACTTCAACAAAAAACCAGGGAAGATATTTGAAGAGAGTTTGAGGGAAATTCCAGAACATTCTGTATATGCCAATCACAAGACAACAAGCAAAAATGGATGAACAAAAAATTGAAGAACTTCTGAAGAAGCTAGACGACAATAAGAAGAGGCTAGAAGACAAAAAGAAAAACAAGAAGAAGAAGCTAGACGACAACAAGAAGAGGCTAAACGACTACAAGAAAAACAAGACGAAGAGGCCAGGCGACAAAAAGAACGGCAAGAAGACCTTGGACAACTGCAGAAAATATTTCAAACCATACACCATATACTAGAACAAAAGATTAAAGAAGTAAAAACCGAAGTTAAGGACGATGTTCAAGGGGTTAAAATCGATGTTCAAGAAGTTAAAGACGATGTTCGAGAAGTTAAACACGACGTTCAGGGAGTAAGCGCTGAGGTCAAAGCCGATGTTCAGCAATTAAGACAAGAAGTTGAGGACAAAGTTCAAGCACTCGAAGATAAGGTGCGTAAATTAGAAATACAATCCATCAATCCAGCTAGTGTTGAAGCATTCTCCAGTATGAAGATAAAATTACCAACTTTTGATGGTTCTACGTCCTGGACGTAGTGTATTCGACAATTTGAAGCTGCTGTAAATACCAACGGATGGAACGATCAAGAAAAAGCTACAGCACTGATAGTGGCGCTACGAGGACCAGCCTTAGATCTTCTTCAGTCCATTCCTTCAATCTACCAACAGAATTACCAGCATCTAGTCAAACGTTAGGATTGCGCTTCGGAGACCATTACAGACAAGAAGTATTCAGAACTCAAGTTAAATCAAGAGTTCAAAAACCCGGGGAGAGTCTACAAGAATTCGAATCGGAAGTTAAAAAGCTAGTGAGTTTGGCGTTTCCTGCAGCTGGGGGAGACATGCAGGAATGGGTGGCAGTATATGCGTTTATTGATGGTCTCCGGGATTCCAAGATCCAGGAATACCTAAGAATGTCCAAGTTCAGGAAAAGTAGCAAAGCCCTTGTCCGAGCATTAGACCTGGAAACAATATTTGGTGCCTCAACATCCAGAATACGAGCAGTGTCCATTCAAGACCCAAAGGATGAACAAACGTCAAAATATAGATGGTAGCTTCAAGAATCTTATGAGTAAGTTCATGGAGAAAATGGAGCAATTATTACTAGAAAGAAGACAAACAGGAAACGACTCCAGACAAACACCAACACCGAGAAACCGAGTAAAATGTTACCGGTGCCAAAAGCTTGGACACATGCAATAGGATTGTAGACTAAGGATGACCTCTCCATCTATGGATCGTTCCCAATGCTTTTGGAGGTCCAGATACGCCAGCCCTAAACATCGACCTGGAAACATGCATGAGAACACTAGTCCAGCTGTGAGAAGAACGGGCCTGATCGTTGATGACAAATGGACTACCAAACAAATGAGAGCAGATCGAGAAGCAGACCAGCACATCGGGCAATTTCTCCATCTTAAGGAAAATGATGAATGTTGGCCAGAATGGGAGAACAAGAGCTTGATTTACAAGGCGTTGTGGACCCAGTGGAACTCTCTGGCCGTAGAAAATGGTTTACTTGAAAGAGTTTGGGAAAGTGCCGATGAGAAATCCACTAAGAGCTAACTGGTTATTCCAAAAGACCGAGTGGAAGATGTATTAAAAGAAATTCATGACGGAACTTCAGGGGCACATTTTAGAGTTAACAGTTACTGGGTTCACTATCACGAAGACGTTAAAAACTGGTACCGAAAATGCGACATCTGTGCTACCAGTAAAGGCCCTAAACTAAGATCTCGGGGACCCATGAAACAGTATAACGTCGGTCTCCCATTTGAGAGAATAGCAATAGATGTTGCCGGACCGTCTCCTGAGTCAGAACGTGGTTACAAATACATCTTGGGTATCATGGATTACTTCAGTAAATGGCCAGAAGTTTTCGCTATTCCGAATCAGGAAGCCATCACGATTGCCCAGGTGCTAGTGGACGAAGTTTTCAGTCGTCATTTATTCAGTTCCTGCTATTTCAAATCATCGGCTTTTGATCTACAAAAATGAATTATCAAAACAACGCAGGGCTTTATGGATTGCTGCAATTAAAAGAAAGGATCTAACAGAGGCTAGATTTTTCCCTTAATAATAATACCTTAAGATATTCACTCTCCATCTCAGAATTTATTATTAAATTAAAAAATACGTAAAAACACTATAAACACTAGAAAATTCACTTTGAAAACAACAAGGGCCCGAACATTAAAAAATACGCAGAAATACTAAACACTATGAAAACAACAATATGACCAAAACCAATGAACGTAGAAACACATAAAATTCACTTCGAAAGCAACAAGAGCCAGAACCATGCCAGAACACAAATGTTCTTCTCATGAACATCACCTGCTTGTCACCGCAATATTTGACCTGAACGGCCATTATAAAATCACGTGATTGAGATTGCCTAATTGAACTACGCTTTCGCATTTCTTTATATGGGTTTGATATGATCAAATGCGCAAGCGCAGTCCAATTTAGAACTGATTTTGAACTGAAGTCCAAACAAACCTTTTTCCTCATTATTGAATATTGACGGATTTTTCTTCCGAGTATAGCAAAAACAGCCAAACTTCTTGTGTTTTGTGTAAAATCTGATTTTTTTTTGAATTTAGGAAACATTTATCTGGATTTAAAATGCACACCAACACCAAGACGAATTTTCATTCAAAACTATTTTGCCATATTTTTTTTAAACATAGGTAACAGGTAAACTGCCAAAGTAAACTGTGACATATTTTCTGGTGCGTTCATTCCACAGCTGTAGTTCTGTTTCACTCCAGCGTCCCCAAGCGGATGCGATCCGAAGCTTTTTTTTTTAGGCTCCGCCCTCCATTAGGCAATTCAATCCATCTGTCAAAACGGAAAATTCAATGTGGTGTGGCGGCCAAGCAAGTTTGTTTTGAATATGTTTTTATGCGTATTTTAAATTATCTTGCATACAGTTTTGCTTACAACTTTGATTTTCATTATTTAATAAAATATTTGTTGACTAGGTACCTGAACTATTAATTCCGGCAGAAACTAGATATTTTTTTGTGTTTTTTGGCCCATGTGTGGCCGCTACGCCATCTTGAATGTCACGTGGTATGAATTGCCTAATTGGCAATGGAAGAACTTCAGCAAAAAAATGAGCAATTGCAACTCCAACTACATAGAATGGAGCGAAGTTTAGCTTAAATTCAAGTGCTGGGAGTTAGCACCAATAACACAACAACAGTGACCAATGTACCACCTTCAGAGAAGTTCTCTTTTGTGCCAGTAGAATGGAATGCGTGGTTAGCAAAGCTGGGCAGAAAACCGTTAATCCGTTATCCGTTAATTAACGAAGTTAAAAAAATTGCTTCAATTTAACTTTTCAGTAAAAATATTAACGGTTTTGTTAACTTCCGTTACATTGGACTTCCGTTAACTTTAGTCCGTTACGTTCGTAAATGACGTCATTTTGTTTGCTTGCATTGCGCGTCAAGGTCAATTGGGAAAGTTCGCACAGTCGTAGAAAGATTTCAGTTCGCTACACTACGCAGTTTGGAACTGTTCTGGAGTGACTCGAAACTCGGTTCCGTACAGTGAGATCGATGAGCAAGCCCTTAGTTCTGTTATTAGGTAGGCTGTGAGCTGAGGCGTATCATT